CCTGTGTTTGATTTGTGTTTGATTCTCTGATCTGTTATCGGCGAATCGACTTTGCAAACTATGCAAAGTCCTTTGAGACGACAGCTGTTGTGATCTAAGGTCTGAACAAAAATACATTGCAGTGAATTTGACAGTTAGGTCTGCAGTGAGGGTAGAAAAAACGTCGATGGAAAAAACATGACAAAAGTGTTTTATATCGGACTGTACTTTTTCAACACCATCAAAACCAAGACCCCATAATAAAAATAACCTGTTCAGACCTGCCCGGACACACTGTACCCGCTCTGCCTGTGCTGGCGGCCCAATGGGGAGCTCCTCTGCGCGGTGCGGGGCCTGGATCTGGGGCAACACCATGATGTCCCACTCAGGGAACACTCCAAATATGCCCTTTCATGTGCACTATTCAAACGGGCCGTGCAATTAAAAAATTAACTCGGATTTCTCATGTACATATTCATATTCCCTGGATTGGTTCTTTGCTGAATCCGGTGACAGCCCCGCGCCGTGTGGACACTGCTTCGGGAACAAATTTGTGTTTTATGTTTGACTTTGGATGCAGGGATATGGTGTGTGTTTTGCCGTATACGCTGTTGTGTTTTTGATGGCTGAGTGTAAATGTGTATGTGTACAGTGGTCCCTGGTTTATCACAGGGGTGTTCTAAAAAACTAGAACTAGAACTGGACACGTGACTGCTGAAGTGAGAGAGAGAGAGCAGAGAGAGAGACCATAGAGAAAGACCAGCGAGAGATCAGAGAGATACCAGAGAGAGACCAGAGAGGGATCAAAGAGAGAACCAGAGAGAATAGAGAGAGACCAGAGAGAGATCAGAGAGGGATCAAAGAGTGAACAGAGAGAATAGAAAGAGACCATAGAAAGACCACAGAGAGAGATCATACACAGATCAGAGAGAGACCAGAGAGAGACCATGAGAGATTGGAGAAAGAGACCACAGAGAGATCGGAGAGAGAGACCAGAGAGAGAATAGAGAGAGACCATACAGAGAGACCATACAGAGACACCATAGAGAGACCAAAGAGAGAACAGAGAGAGACCAGAGAGAGACCAGAGAGAGACCAGAGAGAGACTAGAGAGAGAGCGAGACCACCGAGGTCTCCGAGACCAACAATAGTCTAAGACCAGGAGCATATTTTGTGGCGGCGGCAGGTTACGGTCGTGAGGTGGCGGCAGGTTACGGTCATGAGGCGGCGGCAGGTTACGGTCGTGTGGCGGCGGCAGGTTATGGTCGTGAGGCGGCGGCAGGTTACGGTCATGAGGCGGCGGCAGGTTATGGTCGTGAGGCGGTGGCAGGTTACGGTCATGAGGCGGCGGCAGGTTACGGTCGTGTGGCGGCGGCAGGTTATGGTCGTGTGGCGGCGGTGGGCAGACCTGTGCGTTCACGTCTTCTGTTGGTGATAAAGAGACAGTTTTTTTTCTATCAATGCGACTCTCTCTGTTTCTCCTTCACAGCTCCTGCCGAGACTGCGAGACTCACACATCGACGCTCACAGGTGCATCTGCTGAGAACAACCAGACCTCCATGACCCAGAATGTGTGTCCGTGTGTGTATAGGTGTGTGTGTGTGTGTGTCTCTCTTTGTGTGGGTGTGTATGTCTATCTCCTTCTCTGTATGCATGTGTTTCTTTATGTGGGACTCTCTTTGTGTTTGTATCTCTGTATGTGTGTGTGTCTGTATGTATGTATGTGTGTGTTTGTGTATGTCTCTCTGTGTGTGTGTGTGTGTCTCTCTGTGTAGGTGTGTATGTCTATCTTGCTGTGTTTTTTGTGTCCGTCTCTCTCTCTCTCTCTCTGTGTGTCTCCTCTCTCTCTGTCTGTGTGTGTGAGTGTGTGTGTGTGTCTCTCTCTCTCTCTGTGTGTGAGTGTGTCTCTTTCTCTCTCTCTGAGTGTTTGTGTCTCTCTACCTGTGTGTGTGTGTGTGTGTATGTGTGTCTCTCTCTCTGTGTGAGTGTCTCTCTCTCTCCCTGTGTGTTTCTCTCTCTGCATCTGATTGTAGGTGTCAGGCTAGAAAAAGGTGCAAGTGTGTGGTTCATTAGGCTGCAAGAAATCATGGAGGAGCACACTGAAGCGCACGCTTACAAACCACTGGTAAGTGCTGACTACAAGTCATGACTTCAAATTGTTATATAGAATGATTACAAATTATTTGTTGTTTGTGCAGCTTAGTCAAGAGTCCCTAATTGATGAAGTCGACTCAGATTCTGACGATTTAACTGTCAAGAAGAAACCTGTAAAAAAGTATGGAAAAAGAAAAATCAAAAACACTTTTCTTCAAGACTCGGAAAGTGACGAACCAAAGGCAAATAAGATTGTTATCATGCAGCTGCAAAAGAAGAAAAATGGGGGGCGAGTATACAGCAAGAGACACTTCTGCCTCTACTGTTCAATGTCCTGCCACAAAATGTCCCGTCATTTGACTAGAAAACATGGAAATGAAAGTGACGTAGCCAGAGCATTGGCTCTACCTGTGAAATCTAAAGCACTAAACTTCAGTTTGATTTGATCAGGAATAGTGGAAACCGTGAGCACAATTTTGAGGTTTTAAAGGCCGGCATTGGA